CCCCCCTTTTGCAGCCCCTGCTCTTGCAGCCCCCCCTTTGCAGGGACTCCCCTTCACGACCCCTCTTTTCCTGCAGGAATCCCCCCAGACCCCACCTGGTTCTCACTTCCATCCCCAATTCCCTGCTGGATGCTGCTCTGGTCCCAGTGATCCCAGCGGACCCTGGAAAGCAGCAGAGCTGGGATTTGCTGTGTCTATGCAGAGGGGGAGGGTCTTCCTGCTTTTTCCCTGATTTTGTAGACATCTCCCAAGGGAAAGAAGGGTCAGGTTCAGCTTTCCCTGTGCTGGAGTCAGGAAAATACCGTTTGGCACCTCAGCATGCCTTCCTGGGAAGAGGGCAGTCGGGATAACACCCTCCAAGGATTTTTTGGGAGTGGGGCAGGAGAGGATTCAGGATTTATATTGCAACCAGCCCGTGCTGTGACCCTGCAGGGCTGGTTACCTGCTAAATCCACAGGGAGAACAGGCAGCTTCCCAGGGGGGAAGCAGCAGCTTCCTGGAATGATAATCCAGATTCCCTGGATTGTCATTCCCTCTGCAGCCACACGCTGACAGGGCACCACCCTCACCTTTGCCCACCCCCAGGTCCGTGCTGAAGCCCAGCACCCTGCCCGACATCCAGGTGACGGATGCAGAGGCCACACCCAACACGGAGGCTCCCGGGAATGGCACAGGTGAGCCGGGCTTGGATCCACCTGGATTTCTGGGGGAGGTTGGGAGCAGCTGCCTCGGGCTGCAGCTTAACTTGAGAAAATACAAACCAGCCTTGGTTTGAACTCCAGACTGTTTCCCATCCTGCTCCAGGTTCCTTTGAGCCACTTCCAAAGAACTTCTGTTTATTTTGTTTAATCTTAACCCCATATGGCCCAAAACTCAATGATTTAAAGATTTTTTCCTACCTAAATGATTCCACGATTCCCAAGGGTTTTTGCTCAGTGGGATGTGGTGGAGAGGAGCTTGGAAAGAAATCGGGGGGACGGAGCAAAGAGCCCCGTGGGATAGCAGGGAAAAGGATGTCAGAGCTTCCCCTTCCCGGAGGCTCCACTTCTGGGGAAGAATGGGAGCATTGGGAATGGGAGCACTGGGAAGGCCGTTACCATGGGAAGTCAACAGAGCTGCAAAGTGTTTGTCCCCTCCCTGGTTTTTCCTCTGTGGAGGGGGAAGAGCTCGGCCAGCGCTTCATTAACCCCTTGTTCTGAGCAGGGACAGCGAGGAACGAGGAACGGGACACAAACCAGAATTCCCACAGGGAAAAACCTGCTTCAGGCGTTTCCCTCATTCATTCCGGGCATTCTGATGTTCTGACTTTTGGGGGTAATTTTTGACAGGCGGCAGAGAAGAACCAGCTCATCCTTTTGACTTTGAGGTGCTCATCCACGTCCCACATCAGGGAGGAGCTGAGCCCCTGTAAAACTCGCTGATCCATGAACCCTCATCCCTGATCCTCCAGCTTTTTCCCTTTTTTCTTTTTGATCTTCCCACTCGTGACGCTTTTCCTCCTTCAATCAAAGCTTTCCTGGGTGATTCCCACCCCACATCACCCCACTGCAATTGCCCAGCAGCTCTCTCAGCCTTATGACCTTAATTTGCCAGCACATAAAAATGCCTTGTATTACATTTTTCCCTAAAATCCAGTAAAACTCAGCTCCCAGTGTGCGTTCCTGGCTCCTCGGGAGTGCTTAGTCACCGTGTGTGCATCTGGAGCAGTGTGTCCCGGAGATTTTTCCCTGCTGCAGACATGCTTTGAATTAAAACATCCAAAGCTGGAGCCCAAGAGGTTCATTAAAAATGGATGAAGAGCTGGTTTATAATAATTTGGATCCAGGCCAGTTTTCATGCAGAGATCTGAGGCACTGCCCTTGTTTGCCTGTTCTCATTAAAGGGAGGGAGAAAAGAGAAAGTTGAACTATGGAAAAGGCAGGGAAGATGCTCAAGCTCCCAGGAGAAGAGGTTTTAGCCAGGTAACAGGACGGATTTAGGCAGTTAATTGTGAATTAATCACCTCCTTCAGGAGCTGGAGGAGAATAAACCAGTCGGTGTGCTTTAAACTGGGGGGTT